TGGGTGATGGGGGCAAGTCACCTCCTTCTCACTAGGACACCTTAATGTCTTTGCTCATTTTGTAAAAACAGGCAATGAAAATCTTACAACAAATCTGCAAGTATTAGGTATCATTTCTGCAAATTACTTACAAATTAAACCATCCATCCCAATATTTTCTACAAGCAGCAAAGCAATAACTGCGTATTTCCCAATATGCAGACTTACAGTATCCCAAACAGTCCCCGTCCCCCCAGAGCTCAGAGCTGACACGTCGCACTGTTGGTGACACACATCACATGCCATTACACACGGGCAGGAGGCCGTGACTGGACGTGTCTGTCAAAGCCTCACACATCACAGGACAGCGTGTTGGGAGATGGGGAAGGGGAGCCTTACAAACTGGGGTTAAGAGACAACACGGCTTCACGGGATGTCTCCATCAAATGTTTTCACCCAAATCTTTGTGAATAATGTGGAGGCAGCAAAGCCAGCTCACAGGCAAACTGGGAAAGATCTTCCCCTAAGCCTATAGTCACTGCTGCAATAAACAGCCACTAAACATTTGACTCCCCTTAATATTCTCCTTCTTTAGGCAACTGTCCCTGTGATACAGATGTCTATAACACACACATCTGCCTGCAGGAGTCACTTCACTCTGTCCTATCCACAGACACAGACAAATGAAAAATTAAATTTGATCAGGTCTGTTTGTAAGAGTTCAAGGCCCTGAGCCAGAGCCCACCGGGGCTGGGGGTGTTCCAGCAACACGTCACTGCGTGTTGGCCCTGTGCTCATGTTCTGCCCCCCACACGTGTCATTGCCCACGGCCACAGAGGGGACTCTGGGCTCTGTGCACCTTTGGTCTGATTCAGCTGGAGTATTGTTATTTTCCTACATCGAGTGATACTTAACATACCCAACTTCACTGAGTCATTAGCTCGGAGTCACCATGACGGTGATAAGTTCTGGATACAAGTTCAGAGAACAAGCTGGTTCGGAAACTCCTACAAAAATTACTAGTCACAACAGCACAGGACTTAAAAGATCTTCTGGACCAATTCCTGTCACTTTGAGAATTCCTTAAAATGTCAGACACTGGCTTTTTATTTCACCATTTCACATTATTTTTATACAAATGCTAAGATGTTGAGATATTACTTCGCGTGTTACTCTTCTATAGCACCTTGATAGTATCTCAGCAGCTGATTTGCAAAAACAGGCTAGTTTTGTGCTCTTAATTCAGCTGTAAATCAATAACAGGTACAAATTATGGAGTTTTTGCCAGCTGTCTAAGGCAAAAGCTTATTAAAAATAAGGAAAAGTATCTTGATGGAAAAATGCTGGCCTGTAAAAACATGTATTACATATATTTCTTGTCATAATTTTGCAGATGGCAAAAGAGATCAAAAGTTCAGAGCAGCACGTCCAGAGCCACAGAGCAGCCCAAGAGCAGGTCTCTGGAGACACAGGGCCCGTCTGACCAGGCGTTCTCTTGCTCCTTGGGAATTAGACACACCATGCCTGATTATACGTGTATTTTCAGATACAAAATTGCAAATAGCAGTAGCATGAGGGACGGGGCGGGGGGGGGGGGTGGGTGGGGTGGGGGGGTGTGCCTATGGGCACCACTTGCTGTAT